CGGTGTTGAAGACTGATGTCATGCTGTCGATGATGATGATGATGATGATGTTCTGCTGAACATAGAACAACGTAGCTTCTCCCACCCCATTCACTTAAGTGGCTTTTAGACGCTAGCTCTTTGGCACTCACCCCACAACCGAGCTACTCAGCTCCCTAACCCGTCACTCTTTTGTGGCGCTGAGCGAGTAATGCGGCCATCTTCAAACTGCTGGGCGACACTTACCGAAATCGCGGCCCCTGCACCATTAAATAGAACTCCTCCCTCCACTTTCGTGAAGGACTCTCAGATCCCTACGGATATGGTTAAACTCAGTTCATGTGCACAAGCCAACTATTGCAATCTGTCGCACGTGTTCTAAGTCATTGTGCATCATGTATCCTGTCAGCTCAAGCGTCAGTATTTCGAACAGAAAATCATTTGGCCATCTGCTACTTACAGTTCGAAATCCTGGCCTTCAGCAGGAAGGTGGGTCGTGAATCTAGAGTCGCCTTCAACCTCAGGAGTATCGGACTGTATATCTCTACTCAAGCGTCATCGTGCTGCTGGTCCTGATGACCTTCCATCTGCTGACTTCAAGGATGTGGTGGGCTTATCAGCTAGTGCCTGTCTAGCTTATTTAGGTCTATCTGGGTAAAAGAGGCCGTTCAATCGACAGTATCTAAACCGCTAATATCTTTCATGGTGTGCAGAAAACTTTGGATCGTTTGATTTCCTATGTGGGTGTCCGAAAGGTTGCTAAAGTTTAGTACCTTACTTCCTGATCAGCAAGCACATGCCGTTTATCCGTGTCAACCTTGGTGTTTTCAGGTTGGAGATGGTTCCCAACTTTATCTACCTATGAAGCGGTATAACCGCCAATGAGTTTCCAGGTGGGGAGAGAGATGGCTCAAGTGGTTGGATAGGGAAACCGGAATGTCCTAAAGGTTGTTACAGCTGAGCGATTCCAGTTGAAATACACCGAAGCTCATTTCTGAAGCCAGAGTAGAGTTCGCTAGTCTGGAACCCCGCCGAAAGTTACTCTTTAACCTCACTCTACCAGCATACTGATGCTATAGCGAGTATTCGAGCACGTTATTTATAACTCGGACTGTCTGTTATGTGTTAATTTTTACTCAGGTGGCTGTAGATATGTTCGCCGAGCTTGATATTTAATTTTCAGACGTTTCGTCATCAAAGAAGGAGACATCATGAAGCGAGCTGTTGGGGCGGAGGTGACGAGACGTTTGCAAGTTGATTTCGAAACTCGGAGGACAGTTCAACAGCTGCTGGATCAATAATCAATAAACGCATCCGAGCTACCAATATTTTGACACATTGTTGTGTGTTGGATTTGTGTTGGGTGAGGTTTTCAAGGGATATCGAGTCTATCCTGCTGATAGAGTCCTACTCCAGTGTACTACTCAGTGCTATATCGATCCGGCAGTCTGTTGTGTACGACGAGGGTCAGAGTGCAACGACAATCAGAATGTCAATGGAAAAGACGGAGGGCCCGAAAGCTAGGCTTTATTCATCCAAAATTTTGACACAGAGCTGAAAACGGAAGAAAGTGATTTAGCAATAAATGATGAAACGTTTGAAAAACAGAGCAAATATACAACACAGTCTAGCCAAGGACACGGTTTCCATCAGGATCGGGAAGCCCATTTCCAGCCGCCATCATTTGTGGTGGCAGTTTATCCGTCAAAGGTCGAGTTCACAATGCTTTAGGACACTTTTGTGGATCAGCATCATGGCCTCTGCATCCTAGAGACGTCAAGAAACTTTCAACGTTGACAGTTGGTGTCTTCAGAGTAGTTTCCATGGAAGTGGATCAGTAACACTGAAACCCACCTATGGTTTTTGGGAGACGGATGAAATGATCACATGATCCATGGGTTACGCTGGTTTGACAGAATTCCCCAGAGCTCTCTCTTCGCACTACATAACGGAGGGTGGTAGTTAGCCAGGTGAGTTCAAACAACGACTTGGCAACGAAGCATGAAAGCCAGCGCCAGCAAATTTAGCTGCGCTTGTCATTGCTGTCTCCCTGGTTTGGGATCTCGAGATGGGGCATCACAATATTTAGAGGCATGGTTCAGACATAGTTCAGTTACCCGCTCAATGACGTGCATGCATCCAACTTGTTGCCTATATTTGATGGTTTCCCATTCTGATCGTCTCAATGAAAAGTCCACTGAAACTTCTGCATTCACGCGTCAATGTCTCAGCTACTGTCTTCAGTGCGTGGCCATCCACCCTGTACCTCATAGTTATGACCACTGTAGGGGCAAGATGGCTCAGTGGTAAGAGCGCGAATTACTGATCGGAAAGCATGTGGTTCAAACCCTACATCTTCCTCTAGGCTTGGGCAGCCTGTTTCTTTCGGCTGGTACGGCCGTTTGGCACCGAAATGGTGCTACAGCTGAACGATTATCTTATCTTTATGACCACTTACAATACGTACTTGGTTTTACAACTGACGATGTTCATGAACGTTCCCTTAAGGGAAAATTCTTTATGACCACTTACAATACGTACTTGGTTTTACAACTGACGATGTTCATGAACGTTCCCTTAAGGGAAAATTCGTTCTAAGCCAAGCCCCCAACCCCACAACCAGCCCCCCGACCCCCAGTCTACAAGAGGAAGTGTTAGCAAAATGAATTTGTTCATTTGGAGGTAGTCCTCGTACTGCGTGAAAAAAACAGATTGATGCGCTCCTGTTTATGCTTGAGCAACTTGGGAGTATACCAGCCCCCATGTCTCTTTCCGTTGGCATGACAGATGGGCACCGAGGTGTTACAACTGAACGATTCGACTTTATTTGAGCATATTTGGCGATTCTCGTACAACTTAGGTTCCAGTAAAAACTCGAAGACTGCGGTCGTGGGCTATCGAAGTGTTTTCGGAAACTTTAAGAATAGTGTGTCACGTCCATAGTTTCGTTCTGTTTTCCAAGCACTGGTCACTAAACGTATCCTGCTGATGACCGCCGTTCATGTGCCTTCCCACCAGGATCATTCTTTCGAGTTTGCATAGATATTAAGGGCTTGCATGTAGTATCGCACAAACGTATTCTGGTTCACCGACTATGAGCCGCCATCCGGTGGCTCGACCGTTGATAATAAGCAAAATCCGCTTGAGATTCCAGCCACCGGTTACTATTGGTGTTTATAGTGATCGTAAATAAGAGCGTTACTATTGTGCCACTGTGCGTTCGTCTTCTGCGGATTGAAATGTAGTCTATTTTCGCAAGTGGCACTTGTTGGCTTAGGCTGTTTGAAAGTCGCTATCCACATCCTAAATTTCTGGCGATGATTGTGAACAATCCTATCGTGATGGGGATAAACTGGTAGCACCACCTTCGGCAAAGTTATTTCCATTCGGTAGTTGATTTGATTTGGGTATTTTCTACTTGCGTCCACCGGGTGCCTACCATGTTTTATCCTGATTGTGTTCGCTGTGTTGGGCCAAGAGAAGGAACGATATGAGAATAACGTCACTAGGTGAGCAGTGACAAAAACTTCACGGTCTAATTAATCACTTTGAACGATCGTGAGCCTCTGGACGATGTTCCGTCAATCGTCGAAACTTAAGCGTGTGACACCGAAGTAAAATCAGTGGCGGGAATGTTCAAGAATCTGCTGTTGTGAAGACTCAGTTGCTCACTAAACAGCCGAAAATTTCATATATATGTTGATGGATTAACAGTGCTTTCCTCGCTTCGCATGTCAGGAGCTTGAAGTTCTGATCCCAGCGTGAGTGACCGTATGCAGTGCTGGTGACTTTCAATAAGGGTGGAACCAGTATATCTCCATTTGGTATGGATCATCCAGGATGGTCGTGTGAAAACACGGGGAGGACTATCCATAGGGGAGTGGTGCGAATGCAGATTCAGGAAACCTCACAATTCCCCACAAACGTCTACGGAGCCGTTTGACAGATTAGTAGGCCGTTGGATCAATAGGTAGACAGCTTTTGGAGGTGTGAGGTTGACCAGTCGGGTATTTCAACTGTGAGCCTGTTCGCCATTTAAGACGTAAATATCCAGGTGCATTCAGCATGCGTCGGTAGCTGACAACATTCTCGTCTTGTTTGTCGGGAGTGATATTCCAAAAAGGATGATGTGGATACTTAATAGGTTCTGTGTCCCGATCCTTTTCGAATATTTTTTCATAACTAATTGGCTACCGTAAACTGAGACTACTGAATTTTTCGAAGTTTTGTGCTTGCCCAGGCAAAGTGTCAACGAAACTATAGTTTTTGCACGAAAGCTACGGGGGGACAGAGGTTATAAGATGGTCGACTGTAGTATGTACCACACTACTTTACCCTTTTCTTTGCAGACGGCCCCCTGGCTATTTTCCTGGAAGACTTTGAACGGCCGCTTCCACATCTTCAGGCAATACGCGTTATGCTTCTTGCACAGTGTCCCGTATGCCATGAGCTCTTCACTGGTGCTTCAGACTGCGTTGTATCTGCTTTACCCTGTGGGCATGTTTTTCATAAACACTGTGTTGATACCTGGTTCCGTACTGCCGTCACTTGTCCTCAGTGCAGAGTTCAGGTAAAACGAATGAACACCATCATTCGGCTTTATTTCGATATCGTACCTTTCCCCGGGCCAAGCTCACAGACGCGTGGGTCAACTGCGCCTGGAGGGAAAATCCTTGTAAGTGGCTTTGAGCTTACGAATGTCTTTAAGCTTCTCACTTGTAATTCGCGTCAGTTGTTCAGAAGTTTTGGCTACAATATGTACCGCTTTATATGGCTAAGTCTTTCATAGAGCTGCTTCTTTACACACCTGGAACCAAAACTTCCACAGTTGATGAATTGAACGAGTGTATTTCCACTTAACCACTGAGCTGTATCACTCCGTTCACAATAATCCCGTTTTTTGCTGTTCTGTTGGCGGTACTATCTACGCCTTCGCTACTATTTTCATGAGTCAACCGTGAGAGCTGTACGGTAGGGACTGCAAACTCCTCACGGTCAGTACTTTTCATGTTAGTCAATTCCGTTGCGGGTATCTGGTGTAGCGCATTTTGGATTTCAAAGCCCCAAGAGTTCATGTGAGAACAGAAATAAAAACAGTAATTATTATCATGATAACAGACAACAAAAGTGATCGGAAATCGCTATCGCAGAAAGGAAGGTCGTCCAGCTATAGTGCTTTTCTGGTGTCTAGCTTTTATGCCGCCCGAAGGGAACACGAGGGCTGAGATACTACCAGGTTGCCCGATTCTAGACAGGAGCAGTCCAGATGCAGATGTCGGGTTAGAATCACGCACCTTCCGATCAGTAAGTTCGCGCCTTAACCACTGGGTTTTCTCGAGTTCAGAAGAAAACAGGTTAGTGGATATCCAGTGAAGTCTACCGGCAACGTTGGACATGAAGGTTCGTGTTTCAGTTTTCCGGCCGGTCGCACACTCAATGGCGCACATGCATCCGAACTGTTGGCTTCCTCCCGACCCCCCTGTTTTCAAAAGTTACTTGTATCGGCCATTGTCTTCACTACCTAGCTGTCCACTGCTATCTCCCCAGATCGTCTGGGAAACAAACTGCGACAGATATAACCACTGTACAACAAGTACACGGTTTTCACATCCAAGACTGCACAACCCGCGCCGTTACTTGTTCTTCTGATATTAATGGCTGTTGGTAGTGTGAGGAGATTTGGGACTTTTGTGGAGATTTCGTCCTGTAAGTGAAGCCAATCTATGCTGAAAAGCCGAAAAGCACTGTACAGCTGTTTCATCATTTCATTGGGAATCATCAGCAGTGCGCATCTCACGAAACTCCGAAGAGTCTGGAACCCGCGACCTCCCGGCTAGTAGTTTGAACACTTAACCGTTCGGCCACGAGTGGCTGATCAGCAGTGTGATTAACTGGCACTTAGACAGGATATAGCGCCGCTCATCCTTCAATCACGGGATCCACATCACGCGGTCACACATGTTGACTGGCTCCTCGAGCAACGACTTCTCAGATAGAAGTTTCACTCATCGGGTGAAGTTTATTCTTCCATCGCAATAATTATGCCCTTCCACTTCGCGATGTTGACATCGTCTCACGGGCTTCATGATGTACATTTTTCAACTTTCCAGCTGTCCGTTTTCTGTCTGGATTTGCCATCTTTGGTCACTAATTGTCACAGATTTAATAACAGTAGCAGAAATGTAGATAACACCGAGTACGTGCTCACAACATAACTGATTCCCGGCTATTGTCTTAGGTCTCACTTTATTACCCATGAATTCGCGTTGTGGAAGCTCTTTATTCTCGATTCGTTTCGCTATTTACCGTGCCATATAATGCAGATATTAAGGTCATGGGGGTGAGTCAGCTGAATCCGACTCAATTAGATAACGCTTTCGTTTGATGCACTCGTGGGGAGATTTTGTTGGCTTCGTGTGGTAGTATGATTAGTGTGTTGTGTGACGAATCACTTTTACCTATTAAAGCAATGTATCAGATGGTAGGGGAAACCGGAGAGTATTGTACAAGTGTAGAGGTTGTTCTTCATCAAACAGGTGAATCCAATTAGAAGAATTTACAAACGAGGCATACTTTTTGAATTTCGGAGTCTTATGGCCACTAAGTTTATGGTGACCGATAGGTAAAAGAGAGTAAAAGAAATTCATTTCTTCATGATCTAACATGGATGAGACATGAGTTAAGGTGGAAAGAAAATACATGGCTTATGATGCGTACTGTGTGTATAGAACAGCGAAGGTCCATTCGTTTTTTTCAATCATGAATTAGGCACAAGGTCGCTGGTTTTTTTAAATCGCCGTTCATACTTTACTGTCGATAGCACTTAGAGGGGAGGATGTACTTCAAGGTCACCAGGAGGTAAAACCCCCATATAACTAGTGGGCGGAGGATTAAAGATACACAGCTAGATACACCAACACCATTTCTAGTCCCGTTGCTTACCTCAACTCATTGATGGAATAAGTCTGTGACACTTCAACTTCGCACAGGTCACATACCGGTATGTCTTTAACCAATCAATTAAGTTTTCATGGTTCAAATGATAGGGAAGCGCCCTTAACCCTTTCAATCCGAGCAGGCTTCACTAAATAAAGCTTGCTGATACCATCCATCTTTTTCAGCGCACAAACCATGTACCGGTTTCAGCTGCTACAGCTTTATTCACCAAGGCATCATGACCGGTGCAACCGTAGTATATTTTATAATGGGCGAGCAAATGACTTATCACTGGCCGCTTCTGGTCAAGTTGTATTATGATAATTTGGTTTTCCAACGAAACGTACGTCATGTCACTGACATAGTTCACAAATCACTGTTGTTTATATAGTTGCCATAACTGTTGGAGCGTGTGCACGTTAGTGCTACCATGTGTTCCTTATTTCGATCATACAGAGTATCATTCTTACAGGATGGATGATTGGGAAAATCCACTCTGAAGTGCCCTTGGGATCAACAAATTTTGCTCGCAGACAGCTTCGTACACAGCTTCCCGCACATCGTATACGACATCTGAATACTATATGTGGTTTATAAGGTGCGTCTCAGTTTGGATGCTGTCTCCCCATGTTGTTTTCCACCGTTAAGAATAACAAATAGTAATTGTTCAGCTCTAGCACCCTTTCAGTGCCTAGCTTCCATGCCACCCAAAGGTTGCACGAGGGTTGGTGTACTGTCAGGTTGCCCAAGCCTAGGCAGGGGAAGTCGAGTGGCAGAGGTAGGGTTCGAACCACAGACCTTCCGATCAGTAAGTTCACGCTCTAACCACTTGGACCAACTCGCCCACTGTTATAGTCGCCTAAGGGTATGGTCACTAATATATTGAAGCATTTGGTAGCAGTTAAGCCGGATCCTCTCGGGATGCATGCGTTCTTCAGGTTGTGTTATGATAGAAATTCGAAAATACAACTATTTAGGCATCTTTTGCGATATCCTAATTTCTCGACTGGAAATCATTAGCTGTTTTTAATGGGGCACTTTAAGTTCATTCTGAGTTCCATATACTTTCCTCAACGATTTTCCACGGTTGACTGGGAACAGATCAGAACAATGACACAAACGAATGATTAAAAGAACTGTGAACAGTTGCGAAGTGCAGTCACCCGATTCGAGTCATCCTCCCGAAGAGACCAATTTTAGTTGATCCCTTATGGCATTCAGTTAGTCTTCACGCATGACCTGCGTAAATCAGTCACGGCCGAAATAAGACAACAGCGCCGGTGGGTGTCTCCGATTAGATTGTGGGTAATAAAAATTCAAGTGTGGTCCCCATTTGAAGTTTCCCCCTTTTATGTTGGGGGTAAGGACCCGTACAGAAGCCTTCTGGTGTGTAGGCATGGTTCGCAGATTGATTATCGATGTGTCATATTATGTGTCCATATGTGTTCCACAATTTCTGGACAGAGCCCTGGCAGACATTCATGTCAAGATGGTCTGGACATTGAACTTTACCGAATGCGTGCCGAGAAAACTCGTTTGGAGGAAGAGCTCAGGCAGGTTGAACGTAGAGCAGAGGAGAACAACAAACTGGCCGCTGACCGCGCCAAAGAGATTGCCACAATATCAGCTTTGTATACTGAGTCGGATAAACTATGTGAAAAGGAGCGCCAGCGATGTAGAGATCTACGGTAAGAAATGGCATCTTCATTTAGTACTACACCTTTAACCCCTGAGTTAGTGCTCGTCCCATAGGGAAAACCCTGACACACAGTACTGATCAATTCCCGTGGATTGATCTCGCCTACTTCTGCCAAGTTTAATGATCTTCTTAGGGGCTGTACACTGTCTACCGGGAAGCATGTAAGTTAGTTAGTAGTGGCGTTAAGTTAGTAGGGCAATTTTTTCATCGGTACATGCTCTGATTATCTACGTTACACAATTGTTTTGGATTTATACTATTTTTCATGCGCAGATTGATGAGCGTGTATCTCCCGCTTTGTCCATGCAGTCTTTGTGAAATTCCTACCTGATGTATGTAGGTAATCTAATAGCACGATGACGAGCGTACCCAGTCTACCGTCTTTGAAAGAGTGATGTGTTGCTAACTGGCATTTCAAATGCAGCGTTTAATACTCAAGATCTTCGCAAATGTTAGGTCCTGTCTGGTGGAGTCAGCTGGTAGGCATTTCAAGTGCCTTTTATATATTGAGCGAATCTAACTTGTCCACGATGCGTGCTCCTCATTCAACTGGGCAAGGAGATGAGGCATTTCTGTCTTCGGTGAACGATTGTTTCACTCTCCATTTTAGCGACTCTTAGGGATACATTCGTCATTTGCATGAATATGCTCAGCCGGTTTACTCGCATGTATTTTTATCAACAGCGTCTGGACTAAACGATCATGAAAGACCATTTACGAATGTAACTAACGAAGCGTCCACACTATTATTGTTTGCTGTCGATGGTTCCATTGTGCCCAATTCTGCGGATTTATTTGCTTGCAGCCCCCTTCGAAGAACACTGTGGACTAGCATGATTAACGCACCCTGTGTATCTGATGCGTGAAAATTATTCTTTGTCAACGTACGTTATAACTCTCAGTTTCTTGTCTTTTCGTGTATCAACATTGCCCGTGGTTTTAAACTGGGCCACCTTAGAATTGTTCCAGACAACTTACGTCACACAAGTCTCCCACCAACGTACACGGGCTCCCAGGAGAGTGCGCAGGAACACCCCAATCGTGGTAGATACTTGTACTTCGGCCGCGAAGCGAATCTCTCAATGCCACGTTGAGCAGATTCCGCTTCCGAATGGGTCGTACTGGAGGTTTCATCTCTATCTAAAGAGCTACTCATTTGGCCCAAGCCAGTGTACGCGCTACCCCGCTACGTGGAAACTGATCAACAGTAGATTATAGGTGAGGAAAGCGTCCAATGAAGAACCTTGTACGGCATTGAAGTGGTGATTCATGACATGAGAATTCAGAGTACAAATTAAGGATTGGTGACTAACTAAGGCAACCATCGATCAATAAGTGTTGTAGAAAGATTATTCAGGACATTAGTTCACTTATCCTCGGTATTCACAGTATGGTCATGCTAATCCTATTTCTCTCACCTGACCTTCCAATTCAGCTGAACCGTCGGGGCACTTATTGCTCTCCGAAGTACGTTGGACAAACGTCCCTGCTATTAACTATTCGTTCATCTTCATATCTTTTTCCCATTACAGAGCCGAACTGATGAGTATGAAACAGTTTCTGCGTGACGCTGAATCAATGAAGGCAGAAGCGGTCAAGTTGCGTGCTGAGATGGAAGGGATGCAGAATATTCAGAAACTTATTGCAGGTTAGGAAGAGTGCTGTCCCTGTTTTGTTGTTAGTTTATCACTGTGCCTGTTTCGGATACACAGTGGAATAGGATATTAGTCTATCGAAGCCAATTTTAGTTCCACGGCCTTTCCAGTTAAGCTTTATACTTATTGACGTCGTTCGGAGTTTAATGTAGGGATGCCTTTTGAACACCAGTGACTTCCAACGTTCTTGCATTCCGTATTTATTAGCTAACCCCTCATAATCACAAACTTGTGTGTTTTGTGGGTTTTCAAGCTTTTGATAAGTTTATGAAAACGAGGACGTAATTTAGAATGTTTTTGAAAACAAAAAGGGTCCCCAACTTCACCAACCACTCGGTTAGCAAACTCGATTAATCTCAGGGACATCACCATTGTTTGAGCGTGAACACGGGTAAAATACCAGCCTATTGGGTCTCAAGAATTAGTGACCGAAGAATTGCGGAATGTATTCATAGTTATAGCCAATCTAATCCACTACAAATCAATTTGGAGGAATGTGAAGGCGGTATTCAGGTTTCCTATTCAACTGACAAATGCGTCAAACTTGCATAGATATCCCTGCATGGATATCCACTTACGAGGCATATAGTGATTGCTACGAGCTGTACCACCTCTAAACTAGCATGAGTTGCTTGGGTGCATAGTAGCCACGTTCTATTAGGAACAAACTAAGTTTTTAATCACATCGACTGGAACTGCCAGGTCTTTAGTGTTGAGAAAAAGTATTCGATGAACTCCGTCAACTGGTGAGCTACTGGTGTAACGGTGATACTACTGATGGGGAGGCATACGAGTAGTATGTTTTCCTGCAAACCCCCTTTGCGTCTCTTGAAAAGGGAGATCTATTGCGGAATTTGTGGATTCACTTTATACCATTTGCTTGGATTTGAGAAACAGTCAATGAATACTCAGGAAAGTCCGGAAAGACGCGTTCAAAGAGAATATGTATATTCAGTCTTTGTAAACAAGATGCATATGGGAGTTTTGCTTCCCTGTCCAATAGTCTGTAACTGTCCAGTTGGCAGTTTCTGATAAATAACTCCGTAGCGAAGGCCTTCTTCCTTCCACTGGTAATTCACGTAAATAGTGGCAATAGTTCGACCGTCGAGCTTGTAATGGCTGTGTTTCGATTAAACGTACGCCTTTTGCTGGTGGTAGAACTGGATTGTTAGTTTCGACGTGAAAGTCGACTACCAATTCACGCAACAGAACTTCGGCTGATTTTCTCCCTTCGGATCAGGGAGCCTGATTCATATGTATTATACTCCTCTGTGACAGTGTGGTCAACTGCACCATTTCTATTTTTCGTAACTCCATAACCTAAAGTACCTAAAGTACTTACAATCGGGACTTGAATTCCGTCGGATGCTCTGAGGTTAACTGGCAAGGTGGCAGTTTTTTTCCGAAAGTGTATGAACTGAGATCTATTTTCTTTCACGAATGGCAAAAGCTTGAACCACTAATAGAAAGGATGATTCCATAACCCAGTTCAATTATAAGTAATGATGGTCATCACATTTTCTTCCATTGTTTACGCTACCATCTGGCTAGGATGGTTCTGTCAACCGTTTCAAGTAAAGTCCGAAATGGGTTTAACCATCAGGTTGTCTATATTCCTCATTTTGCCCGTTAGGGTACCCACGAAATTGGAGAGAACTTGTGTAGTTCATACTCTGCGTGATATAACTACGGTTGTAGAACTTCAACTGTCTAAATCTTCTTCCATTGAATGACACGAGACACCGTTTTGGATTGACTGTCAGACCTAGAAGCATCCACATGCTGGTACCCTCCGCACCAGCCTATTCACATTCCTGTCTGCCGCCATGTCCTCTGACCTTGCCAAGTGATCTCATCTGTCCGAGATTTCTGGTTTGTCTTTTACTGCTAATGTATTTATCGTCAGTGCTTATGGACAAAAAAGGGCCAGGGGCTCCCTTTCCGACCTCAATATCTTCTCTCCCTCGTGCAAGTCGATTCGTCCAAATTTACTGCTAGTTCTGGAGAGCCTAGTAGTGCTGGACGTGCCTTTTGATGAAAAGGCTTGTCTATGGTATCATAAATCGCTGGTTTGACAGTTTAAAAAAGTGTTTTCAACCTTCTCACAAGTATGCTTCAGCTGTTTACGCTTATAACTTGAATATTTTAATAATATCATCCTCGGGAACTATTCTCTGTGAACACATGCAGTTAGAACAAAGAAACAATATTTTGGCTGTGTTAAACGTTTGACCTCAGTGATAATTGCGACATGATCAGCCACTCACCGCTTTGTTGCAGTGGAACCAGCTGATCCGTGAATACGGATCCTCGGAGTTTTCGGCTGACCAAGATCGATGTGATACTGGGGCAATTGAGCAAATGATCAGTGCACATGGTATGCCCATTTTCAAAAAACGGGCTCGCAGTGAGTGTGGCAACCACAGGGGGATCAGCTTGACCCCGGTTGTAACCAGACTGTTGGCGTCAATTGTGCTTCGTCGCCTTACGGTGGCTCGTGAAACACTTATTCGAGAGCAGTAAGCGGTATTTGGGCCAGGTAGAAGTTGCGTTGACCAAATCTTCACACTCCGTCAGGTGCTAGAACAACGCCATACGTACGTCAGGGACGCTCACTCACTTCATTCCCATTTAATTTCGTGATCAGTGAAATAATGAAACGAACACTGGAAGGTATTCAAATAGCTTGTGACGATAACCTTTGGAATATACAGATAACATTGGTCTCACTCCCGAAGAGGAGGAGAGGACGCAAGTGTTTTGGGATGAACTATCCTTTGGTATATACTTACACCCACAAAGTGTAAGGTCATACTCTTGGACATGCAGACACTAGACGCGCGACATACAATCCAGGGAGGGACACTCGAAGTTATGGGGCTTTTTACGTACCTTGGAAGTTGTATTGGTTCTGGTTGTAGTGTGACAGATGAGGTAAACGCACGAATCTGCAGGACCCGGGTCGCGTTTGCTAATTTGAGTCACCTATGGCGTCAAAGCGGTATATCCGTGAATCTCAACGGATGTGTATCAGGCTGTAGTGCGTGCTGTTTTGTTGTATGGCTGTGAAACTTGGAACTAAGACGTCTTCAGGTGTTTGACAATCGTTGCCTCAGAACCATAAGTCACGTGGGCTGGTGTCGGCATATCCGTAAGGAGGCAATTAGAAAACGCGTTTTCGGTTATACAACGGGTACTTCCAATGAAGAATATGTCCGGGACCAGAAGCTGCGTTGGTTGGGACATGTGTTGCATATGCCTAGCCATCGTTTGCCGAAGAGAGTGCTGTTTTTCGTGTCCAGTTAAGAGTGGCGGAAGCAGAGAGGTGGCCAACCCTTGGCCTGGCAGAGGGGTATGAAAGAAATCATGAAACGTTTGGGTTCTGTTGGTGCTACTCGCCTTCCGGGATGGGGGACGCGTAATCCCCACTGCGCCTGGTTGGAGACGCTGCAAGATATGGCTGCCAACCGATGTCAGTGGCTATCTTGTTGCCAGTTTCTATCCAGATTGCCTCAATGAGTGTTTGAAGATGCAGGCACCTCGGAATGATTGTTGAAAGCTAGGACTAAGTCCCTTCCCCGTCCATCTTCATTCTTTTCTTCACAAATAAATCATGGTTGCATGCGAAGCATCTGTGTTGAACACTGATGTCATGCTGTCGATGATGATGTGTACGTCACTTCCGATCTCTATCTGTGACGGTTTTGTGTTCCTATGCTGTAGTTTTCACTGCGTAATCACGACGGAATTCCCCACCATATGAGTAGCAGGCAACAATTTTGTGGCTATTCCCATGAGTTGGAAGCATTATAAGTGCACTGTAATTCGAGGACTGTTTGAAAATATACTGGTTCGCATCAATCATCATCATCATTGACAGAAAAACCAGTGAGGAACACTGTTGCTTCACGTCCGTACAACCATGCCAGTTTATTTGAATAAAAGGAAGGAAAAGATGGGACAGGGAAGTGAACCCAGGGATTACCGAAGTGTCTGCACTTTCAACGCTCTGTTAGCTAATCTGAATAGAACAGACATAGATTAGCCACCTTATCGTTTGATGTGTCCCACCAAGCACAAAGATAGTCACGTCGCTCTCACTCTGGAAGGTGAGTACCACTAAGAGTACAGAAACACCCTTCGTTCCCGTCTACCATGTCAAATTCTGTTCACCTCTGCGTTTCCGCTACTCCGAACCGGGTGCTGAAAACAACACATCAATATCNTTGCCTTGATGATGTGTTGACATGTCTTGATACCAATCTTAGGATGCCTTGTTTGGGTCTGAAGAGGTTTTGAAATGACCAAAACGCTTCAAGGGTTGTCTGGCTCTTACTCTTGGCAGGTAACTCAGATGATCCTTCTAATCGAGTCGGTATACCCTTCGGGTCACACTAAAATTATAGGTTTAGTTCAGACGATCTTCTGTTGTGTTGACCTTTGAGGCACTTGCTCTGTTCTCAGCCCTGACGGTCTTCAGCCCTTCTCCTTGTCGAATATTCGTCCAAACGGTGATTTGTCTGCGCTCGCCTCAGTACTCTATTTTGTTCCCAAGCAATAATGTTTATGGTTGTGATGAATTGTTGGTGTGTCTATTCCAAACTAGTTGACTTGCGTCTTGAATATCAGAGGTGAGTAACCTGGCTTACTTGTCTACGGTTGACAATGTATTTTCTGTCTGGTTTTTAAATGTTGGCTGAAATGACTTGGTTCAAGATAACCCTCTTCAGACAAATCATTTACCTGATCGTTCATTTTTTATCCATCCAAAGTTATTTTGTTTCTGTTTCATCCTCAAAAGGATAGATGCAATGGGAGTTTGATTGGTTCGAAAATGTAAGGTAACTATTGTGTGGCGCGTGATGAGCCTTGGGTACATCTTAGGTGTCTGACTCGTGTGCACGGTTTCGAACCCGACCTCTGTATCTCGACTGCTCTCATCTAGGCTTGGGCAACCTGACAGTATCCCAGCCCTCGCGCTTCCTTCGGGTGGCGTGGCAGGTAGGCACCGGAAGGGTGTTACAGCTGAATGGCTATCCTGTGATCTTTAAGGTTTCCACTGTGTGTGCCGTTAATACACCTGACTGCTATGCAATCATAAGACTGTTAGCTGTCCGTCTAGCTTGGCACCTAGTTTGTAAAAGTTTTATCACCAAACGAGACATCGTTGGTGCTAGGTTGGAAGTACCTGAGCAGTGTTCGATCGTCCAGTTATGACAGCAGTTTTTTTTAATTTGTTTTTCATATTTTGATTCCAGCCTCTGAAGAAGCTGCAATGGACCTGTTGTCACGGTATCGGAGTGAAAAGAATGAAACATCTTTAAAACCTGTTGACCGAGAGGCCACATATGGATTGGAGACCCTGTGTCGTTGGACAGCAGTGCTGCGCTCAGAACTCACCTCAGCCAGAGAGAAAGCGCGAAGCTACCGTATCGAGCTTTCTCGGGTGCGTAAGCTACATCAGACAGCGTCTCAGCGTGCTTCCCGCTTCGAGATGATGGTCGCCAAAAAAGATAAACAAATCAACTCCCTGGAAAAAGAACTAACTTCCTTGATGCAGTGTGCCAACAGTAAGCCTGGAAATAGAACAGTAGATGCCAGTACAAACTCTTCCTTCAAATTGTCAGCTAATCCCGTGGATATTGACGCTGCTCAAGACTCTATTGATTTATTCTCCAGTCGCTCATCCATTACATCTCTTCAAACAGACAACCCCTCCTCTCCGATATTGGATACCCCGGAAAGACTCGCCATTACCCCACAAGCCCCACCCACTATTGAACTACAAGTAAGTGGGGTCCAACTTGTCTCTTGTAACCTATATTCGGTTGTGAAATCCGTTATTTCATTTGACCTGTTCGGACTTTCCTAGGTTTACCAAGATAGTTTTCCCAATGATTCGGACTAGACAGGGATGTGGGTTGTTCTGATACGTGGACCTCAGGCTGTGGCTCAAGTGGAGAAGTGTAGTTCACTTTTCTTTCGCATCTCAATCCTATACTGTCATTGTAAAAACAACCCATTTCTCAAGCCTTGGTGTCCATGCGGCACAGTAGCAGCGTTGGAACTGGATGCTTCAGCGGCATAGAGCCAGGAATTTTATTTCGAAATGTCTTAATATAGGAAGATTGATGGAGAGAGATACAATGCTCTACTAGGCGCATGTGTCCGCGAACTCACCAGTTGAATGAATCGTTCAGCTGTAGCACCTTTTCGGTGCTTAGCTGCCGTGCCACCCAAACGAGGCACGAGGGTTGAGATACTGCCAGGTTGCCCAAGTATTAACCGGGGAAGTTGAGAGGCAGAGATCGGTTTCGAACCATGAACCTTCCGGGCAGTAAATTCGCGCTCTAACCACTGTGCCATCTCGCCCTCGATCTCACCAGTGTAATGAGAACTTGAAACGATCAGTCGCAATCGGACGTCAACGCCCGGTCATACGATGGTCAAATACCACTCAACGTCTACACACACTGACGCACCACGAAATCATGACGTAGCGACTGGAACCAATGTACTCTCTGTAACTTGTTTATAGCTGATGACTTGACTAACTGATTCACCAGTATAATACACCATCGAATCCAGCCCCACATTACTTGATAATCAGGGTAGGCAACTCGTCATCCATTTGTCATTCTCACCGGTTAAACTTCCGGCACAGAGTGAATAAAAAAGATAAATCCATGTTCCCTTTACCGAGTCATGTGCCCAAAGCATCTCGTCAACGGGTGCACTTCACCGAAATGACCTAGGCTCACTTCCAGTTTTGACCGACGTTGTACATTTGCCCAACTCGATAACGGGACTAATTTCTCTCCTTTATATCTAACAGAAGCGGTTGCGGACCCCCTTTGAGAACCCTTTTCGCGCGAAGGAAACAACAGAGAAGAATACGAAACCGATATGTTCACCGCTAAACAAATGTCTTTCAATTGATCAGCTTTGCTCGACTTCAACGCCCTCCAAAATATTTGTATCAAGTAAACCGTCAACTAGCACTGAACCTTGCAAACTCCAGCGAAGACCGTCCGTGTTGTTGGAGATGGCGATCATGCGGCGCCACCTGAGTAACCAAACTTCACACCCCACCGGAGTTTCTGCACCTTCACTGCCCCCCATTTTAGCGCATAATACGGTGCACAAAGCTTTTGAACGAATACCTCAACAGCAAAGTCATATGAAGTGGCTGACAAAACGGCCTGCTCCGACGAATCCCAAGAAACATTCGGATCCGAAGACAAAAGTTTCCCGCCTTGACCGGTTCTTTTTGAAAAGCTGATTCATATAGGCTTTCCCCATATTTTTATAGCATTATTTTGTTTTATAAGTATATAACTTATTTATACATTGCCTTTCAATTTTGTAAACCATATCAGGACATCATTCAATTCAATATAGATGATGTGCGCGTCGTCATTCACTTATCCTTTATTGATTATGGCTAATTAGCGTGGGTCTTGTGTAAACTGCTTCCGATTTTCTTTCGTTTACTGCGAAGCGTCGTTGCAACTCAGGCGCACGGGATTTCTATTAAATTTGGACGAGGTTTTTGTCGTGTTTCCTCAAAACATGAGTGCAAATCGGACCTACGATTTGTACGAACATAGGGATCGGATCACTACATGTCTACGTGAACGTTTCATCTGAGATGTCCTCACTCAAGGAGCCAGTCGACACGTGATTGCCGCTATGTCCTGTCGAATTGCGAGTTGATCACAATGCTGATCAGTCGCTCGTAGCTGATTGGTTAAGTTCTGTTTGTTACTAGACATCAGGGAGTTGATTATGCTATATATATATATATATAGCAATGAGTTGCATTCTTTCAGTGGTGTTGTACTTGGCATATAGGTGGCTAGGACTTCACTAGAAGATGTAACTACAGAAATAATTAATTCCACGTTTGAAGGGGACAAGTTTAAGACGCAAGCCTAACCTAACAATAACGTAGTCACTGCGAAAGTATACTTAGTAGTCGTCGATCTGATAGGGAATACAGAAACCACAGGGGATAACGCAACACATAAAGTTACGTTTTTTGTACATGACAATCAGTAGGGGTTAATAAACCTAGCAGAGAAAAACCGTGGGGGTTCTATTGAAATGGGGCGCCAAAACACTCTCATGTCTGTCATACGCCATGTGGGCCAAACAAAAAGCGTGACTTCTAAGGGTCTGTGACATGATTAGTATTTTTCAGTAGAGTGCATACCTGGAGAGTTATGAACAGTTTGTGTGAAAGTGGATGTGGTCCTGCGTGCAAGCCCTTGGTAAACGATAGAACAGCATAGAAATAGGCAGGTATAGGCCTGTTGCAAGCCATCAGCCTGGCATAGCGATGCGCGCCTGTAATACTCACTTGTTTGTCATTCATATGCCGCCGTAATCTTTCAAGTTCTCCAGGTTTCATTATGCTACACTTAATTTCCAGGGATAGCATGTAGAGATATCCCCCTGATAGCACTACATGCCGTCATAGCGATAAGGGGAAAGCTGACGGCTTTCGGTTGTGGATGAGGCGGCTCTTGATATGTTCGCCAAGTTTGTCAAATTGCTTGCCGACGTTTCGTCATTAACCATAGGGACACCATAAGTGCTCGGTGTGATGGGCAGTTCCTCCTTACCTTCTTGCGCTCATACAGCTTTTATAAGAGTAGTCAATATCTTTTGATGTGATTGGCCGATTGAGGAACAACTTTACGGTAATTTCATTGGGAAAGTAGAACAGGACTATTTAAACTCTACCCTAAAAACTGAGGAGAAATGATTACATGGTCTGATAAGGGTGACAAGTGTACATCCTTTACTTCTGGCTGACATACCACATGTCAGTTTATTGCGAAAGAACACCGGAAAAAATACGCTCTCCTAAACTTTGCTCTCGTCACAGTCCCGGCTCTTTTTAATGCCCGGCTGGGGATTATATTAAGGTGTCTTAGTACATTGTCTATAGCTGGCCTTGTAATTTTTACGAAAACCCGTCAAACGTAATGGTCAGTTTTTCAAGGCCTCTACTTCATGCAACAATAGGAAGCGCTCTCAGCAGGCCTTTGTGTATTGTCAGGAAAATAGCATCTGGTTCAGCCCAACGCGGAGCCCACCTGCTATGACCCCAAGCATTTAGACATCACTCCACAGTTAGTTAGCCTATTTTCTGGACAACCTCACTATGGATTCCTGTTATCCATGGAACACACTAAATCACTCTGAGCATGTTATATCTTTTCTTGCATGGTAAGGAGCCAGTTTCGATGCAAAGATCTGAAAGCAATGAAGTGTCCTTCAGATAACCCACACACTGTGAGGTTGTTATACTGCCCCGTCTGGTGAAAGATAGAGGCTTCTGGTTCATTTCTTCTAAACAGTAAGATTAAGGATGCAAGTGACAACTTCCATGGTTACTTTTGGTCTGGATGTCGATAACAAATATATTGCTACAGTTCGTATTAGTTGTGTCATAAATATGATTAATGACCGCCGACCACTTGTCGTTGTGCAAAACTTGAAAAACTATTGGTAGTTGATTGGGTGGCTGTTAATCTGTCGGCCAAGCTTGACTATTGGCTCACAGTTGACTTTCCTAGCGGAGTGGTCATCAATACGCTGTTGGGTGACTGGCTCCTCTCCTCTTGCTTGAAATGGACTAGTTTGCAAAGGGTTGTTTCAAGCTGTAACACGATTGGCTATTGACAGTCGCGCGACCTGGAGATTGATTGAGCTTCGTGATCTGTGTTGCGTTGTTGTATGCGTTTCTTATGTTACACTACACTGTCTTTGTTATCGTGCGTATTCGTCCACCTTCCCGTTGTTTGATTTCCTGATACTGTACCTTCGGATTTTATTAGTTTACTGTCATTGTGATTGGTCCATTCACAACCTGTGGTTCAGTTTCATGGGCCCGGCTCGTTGGTTTGCATGTCTGTTCTCCATGGAGTTCCCATTATTTTCACCCGTTTGGTTTCCAGATTTCGTTATCTTTGATGACAGCAGCGAATTCCGATCCAATACTTTGTACATTCAATGTGAACATCTTTTTGATTTTCTTCATTTTGCTTCCTATTTGATTCTTTTCTCCGTTCAGAACTGGTTATGGAATAGCTCTGCTCTCCGAGTTTGGTAGGCCAGGTCGATCTTCGTGCGTCTGTTTACTTCTCAACCAACGGATCAATGTGCCTCAATAAACTATCATTTTTTATCATTGCTAGTCCTAGTATGCTGATGTGGTTTTGGTTGTAGTTGTATCCTTTGTGGCCATCGCGTACACAGATGAGCGAGGGTTGATCATGCGTTCTAGTGGCAATTTCATGCTCATTGAATCTGGTTGACAATTTACTTCCTGCGCAAGTTTTTCATAATTCTCGCTTGAAGGTAGTAGATAAAATCCGCCTATTCCATTGCATCAGACATCCCTTTGGTCTTAATAGTGCTTTTCGCAGCATGTTTGTAGGTCTGTAAGCCACTGGTATACCATCACGTCGACTACCCTTGCACTAACGTCCCTGGTGCAATTATTTCGCTTGGCCATTTAGCCGTCAAGTTTATTGGGCAGCACTTTAGCTGAGTTCTTCAGACTAATTTCCTTGAGTAGTCGTTTCTCCGGAGGACTTTGTATAGCCACCTCTCCTTTTTTTGAAAACCAACTCTAGGAGGAAGTATGCTTAGTTTTGAAAGACAGTACAAAACTAATTGGTTACTTTATCCTTCGTCGTTAACAAAGGATTATTGAAGATAATACTTTCCCGCTCTGCAAATTCCACAGGTTGCATCCTCACCGAGCATGTAGAGAAGCCCCATAAATCAATGTGCCCTGCGTTATGCGACAAAGTGAAAGAGTATGTACCTGCCAATTTGAACTCGATATCCAGCTCGGTCGTCGCTGTCCAACGACACGACCGCCCTCTGCATGTTACACATTTTGTCCAACACGAAAACATGGGAGCCAAAAGTCGAAACGTTAGGCAGATTTCGACGGTAATACTTGCCGAACTGCCTGCAACTGACCGATCAAAGTCTCATGGTACTCCTTTCTACACCAGCAGTAGTGGTATCAAATTAGAAGTTATGTGTGCTTGGACAGGTAGGCAGACTGTCCCCCTCGAAAGCCTCTTTGCACAACTTCACACATCTTCAAGTGAAAATAGATAAGCGTTACAGGTACAGAATCACTCCATACGGACTCAGGGTTTTCTCGAGCTTCATGAAGAAGGGCGTAATTCAACACCAGACTGCTGAAAATATGGCAAAGCAAGTTAACAGAAATCCTATGCAAGTAGAGAAAAATGCAATGAAATTGCAGCCTCGCCAACCAAAACGCATGACACACCAATTGTGGAAGCGTAGAACGGACAGAGTACAAATATGGTGGTTCACCAAACGGAGCAAAATTGTAGGTAACCAGGGCAAACACAATCGTTTAGGAACGCCTGTGGTTGAATGATGGCTAGCGAGAGACGAACTCACGTTACATGATAGATTGAAAAATCTAGGCTTACGTCACTCGCAGGAGAGAGGAGAATGTTAAGTTTTCTGATATGGTGAGCACAGAAAATTCAGCGGTCTGTCACCAAACATTATGACATTAAACCGCTCCACGAGTATCGGTGAGGACAACTGCTTTAGTATTTTCCGTTTCATGTCTCATCACCAAGCCGGTATTTATCAAAGTGCTCGTAAAACGGGTTCTGACGAAGTATGAGGGTCAAAACCCTATGTGACGGGGTTTTTTAATTAGTATATTGTCATTTACCAATTGTTGGCGGCCGAGTCCAACCCACTTACAATTGTTTAAGTTCGCAGACAGTTGAATGCAGTACAGTGTAAGGGCAATAATATCACTATGATCATCATCTGGCTGCATCCAAATAAACGTGCTTTGGTCTCACTAAAACGTTTTATCGGGTTCGGATTGCTCAAACTTGGTTCTACAAAATATTTCTTAAATACTTTTCTGGTTGTTCTACTAAATGCTAGGAAAACCCCTTATCAAGGAAAGTAGGTCATGGTATATTACTGATGCCATCCTGATCATTCCTAATTGCCCTAAGCGTCTTCCGTTTAAAAGCAAAAAATTGTAAACAGGTAGGTGCATGTATTATGTTCAACCGAGTTATGCAACGGATGCTAATTCCGTCTCATTCCTGCACAAAGCGTTGCTCTAGTTGGAGATACAGTCCTGTCGATTTTTGTCCTAGTCTCCCGAATAATTAGTCAGAGGAAAAATCGAAGCGTGTGCAAATAGACGCACAATTACGTAGAAACACAAAACTGCGAGACTTCTTATGTTGAGCTTGTGCTCTAGTTGAGATACAGTCCTGTCGATTTTTGTCCTAGTCTCCCGAATAATTAGTCAGAGGAAAAATCGAAGCGTGTGCAAATAGACGCACAATTACGTAGAAACACAAAACTGCGAGACTTCTTATGTTGAGCTTGTTCGTTTTACCTGCGATGACACTACAAACAACCGAAGCCCAATTCATGGGTCATTATCACATGAAACAATGCTACGGAAAGTGTCTAGCTGTCAGCTGACTCTATCTCTCTTTCGTCTGCAAGTGGCCAGTGAGATGAGACAGCATCTGTTTCTACTGAAACGGCTTGCACTACGAATTGCGTAACAAGTGAGAGTCTATTTTGTATCATTTCAGTTTCAGGTATTTATCTTTCCGAAGCTGCACTCGTCAACGAGACAATATAACATCATATGTCATAATGTAGGGCCCAAATCTCATAGCTTAGTTTGTCCTGTGCTTGGACATAATTTGGAACTTTTAAGCGGAATTTTCTTTTATTAGTTTTTGTACGCCCTAACGCGTTTTGTACTTCGGCCCGATTAAAGTTCAGTATTAGTCTAACGTCAAACATTCTCTGAAATGTAGCTCATTCCTGTTAATGAATATCGATGGCTTATGGATGATAATCAAAAGCGCACAGAGCTCTCTGTGACTTAGAAAGGGGTTATATTCGCCGACAAGTTGTTATTTATTTAGGGAAATTGGCCTTTTAAGTGCAACAAAGTACCAGGGTTTTTTGCCTCAAACGAGCACGTAACAAATAACACATAGCAAATATGTTAGATTCAACCAGGGTGCACCCAGACCTACACTCGCCCCCAAAAAAAGCCTGGGTTTACGGCTGAGTACCTAGCAGATTAATGCATCCACAAGTTTTACAAATTGCTAATAAGAGCTTGGCAAATGAACAACTAAGTGATGGTTGCATCTTTTTCACACCACTGGGTGGCAACGCCTTTTTCATGTGGATTACTCTAGGGGGCACCGCAACTACCGATTGTTATTCCTGCAAAGTCGTTTTTATTAATTTTCATATGCTTATCCGAAGAATTCTGACAAGATGATGGCCAAAAATATTATTTTATTATTTTAACTTACATGAAAATAACCTTTCGGAATTTGAGTGTTCCTAGTGTAATAGGCCTTAGGTTACGCTGCACCGTGTTCTCGCAATCGTGAAGGGGGATTATTTTGTCAACAGAGCCATCGCCGCGGCCATGCGGAGGGCCGAAGGATCTCTTAAATTAGAAGCTCAAATACAGGCTTCATGGGAAAACAAGCTAAGTGGTCATTTAGAAATACTCTAAACACTGATTCACAATCAAGATCGGCGGATGACAAACCTACAATGACTTCCTGATTTGCATTTCTCTAACATTTTGACGGCACTCCTGTCAATTATATGAAGGTGGTCGTTTTAATCACCAGGCCGACAAGGAGCCGGTTTAAATCCCCTGTTTGGTAGCTTGCGGCCCCGCCCTGTGAACTTGGAGAACGGTGCTCTATTCTTTTTTGTTTGCGCCTTCTATGTGAACGAAAGCCGCTGAACAAACCCATCCCGAGAAGCTTGGGCGAAAGCCTGGATCCAGTGCATCAATCCGTGAATCTGTGAAAATGGACCTCATTCGTCATGAGTGATTTCGTCAGTGATTGGTGGGTCCACCTGGAGCTTCGAAGTCTGGTGGTCCGCCACGCCTGTATTTATCCAGCAAATTTCCGTCTTCTGTAGGATATGGTCTTGGCTTACTTAGTAGTGATGTTTAAAACCCAGTAAGGTGCCGGATATTGCAGCTGTAACGCCGACAACAGGAGTGTGGGCCAAAAATCTGCTACAAAACACATATATGTTTACTAATCATTACTGTAGTTAAATGTACTTGAGTAAATAATCGGCGTAAAGCAGCAGCGCGATTCATCCTGCTGCATTGTGGGTGAGATTTCTGCAATCAGAGATGTCGACTGAGGGGGTCCAAGACCAAACGCTTCATTTGTCCCGACGACGGTAAATCGTCCATCTGGCATAAACATGAGGAAACAAACTGCACAACTCAGCTTGATTCTATTTTCCAATCAATGGGTCAAGCTGTCTCATTTCAGGGGACGTTTTATTGCAGTTGGTATTCGAACAACCTACTATTTTCTCCAGAATTTCGTTGGCCACCCTATTGCAAGGCTGCCGGCAGTATACTTCCCTGAGGATCACAACAAGGTGCTACATTTTAGGCTTCAAAGCCAGCCAAGGTGTCTACATTCTGCACGTCCGCAGGAGTGCAAACTCAAAGCTGTTTCGTGCATAAACAAGGTCCGCATAGGTGTCTCAGAGAAGGCGTCATTCAGCATCCGATAAACACAGTCCATACTGAATGCAAGATGGTCCATCCACATTGAAGGCATCCATGAACATAGAGCGCCACTTGTTCAAGCAGTTTTGTTTGTTTTGAAAGTTAGCACTGAACGAATATGGCCCATGGTCAGCACGTAACTGCAGCAAACTTTAAACCGTTTTTCGTGGTCTAGGACAATAAAGCGTTGTGGTTCAGTAGCACTAATCTCAGTCACATACTCGTTCATGTTTCCGACAGCCACGAATATACCAGGCTCTTGATGCTCTATAAAAACACCTACAAAAACCGTTTTTGAATGTGTCGGAGGCATATTCTTTCGGGGCGTAGACAGGTGGTATTAATGAACAGCAATTTTGGAGCGTCTACAGGCGGCTTTTACGGAGACCGCTAAAAAACCTGAAAAAGACTGCTATTGGCAAGCAAACATCCAAAAGGTAACCCTTTCTTTGTTCCTTGGAGAAATAATAATCGCGGTGAAACCAGCCACGGTTGCTTGCGCCTGAACGGAAGCGAATGCAAACCAATTGGGAAGTGAATTCAAAAACCATACTTGGCTCTTGACGCCGCGTTTCAGGCAGAGGCAAAATATCAATAGAAGGCACATCTGGCATGCACGAAAAAAGCCCGTCTTCTTGGCCTTTTCAGATTTTGAACTTTATAGCTTAACAGACAACATAGGTGTTGGCGCTGAACCAGCTGTTTTACAGTGCACGATTTGGACGTGGATGTTGAAGATAAAAGCCTCTGGCGACGAAAAATCTTTTGATCAAGAAGTGGTCTACGATGATGTCACTGCTCGCGAAGTGAGATGACGTGAAGGGTACATGAAAAGTAATGAAACAATAGAAGCACTTTGTGAGCATGTCCGCAACCCGTTGTGTGAAGCAGCGTACCAGTAACATAATTTTCCCGAAGAAAACCCTGGAATGCCTAAAAGTTGGTGAAAACAGAAAAGCCAGCTACACATTAGATGTTTAGGTATCAGCCTGCTTGAATTGACACTGTATGGATTTATTATAGTTGTACGTATTTTGAGAACGTTGCCAAGGGATCAGCTGATATCATCAGATAGCACTCCTTCAAGGTGAAAAGTGCTTCACACTAAGGGAAAGCTTTCCTGTTTATTCAAAAAAAAACTTTAGTTTTTAAGGAGCGTTCTGGAGTGCCTAGGGTGCAAGCATATAGTTTTAGATAGAAACTGGTGAAGGCGTATTGTGGTGTATCCAAACCCAACTTGTGAGGCAAACAGCAATCAAACAGAGGAAATTTCGATGATGTCTTCTTGATCTGGCGTACCAGTACATCGTTGCAGACTGCATTTGTGCGAGCTTATAAAACGGCTGAATCTCTGTCTCGTTACAGATACTACGGAACGTGAAAAGTATGTCCACTTTAAAACGCCGTAAAACAACAGCCCCCTAGATGCGCAGTAGAGTTGTCAATGGTCTACTGATTGGTGTGCTGAGAGCTTTCCGCAAATTAACTGTTCCACGCGTACGACAAATATTTCTGTAAAGTCATTCACAAACACCAAGTGCCTCGTGTTTCGTGCTTCCTTATTCTTTATTTGTCCTACTGCATACATATTTGGAA